ACTTTTTCAAAACGTGTAATTTTTTTTTTAATATTGTATTATTTTGTTTATTTTATACAAATGCATAATTCAGCTTTCTTAATACCCGCCTGCCTGTCAAAATTCTTCAGAGCGTAGTATGTAGATTAACTCGTTTCGACTCTAAAAATTCAATAACATTTTGAATAATTGCATTGAAATATTAGCATAGCGTCTAAAACCGGATTATTTTTTAACTACACTGAAATTATCAGTAATAAGCGGTTATTTGTACATACCACACGTCCGCACGCTATTTTGTTGTTAATCAAATTTAATTACGATTTTTTTACAACAAATAAAAAAATCAAAAAAAATTAACAGACACTCTTAAAGGCATCAACAACATCATCAGTGTTAAAAAATTAAGATAATAAAGCATGATACTTAAAAAAAAATAATTAGTTAATTAATATAAAAAATTAGAACATTTTAAAAATAAAATAAAATCATTAAGGAAAAAATTTAGACATCTCAAAATTTGTGAAAGTGAATCGGATATTTGGGAAAGCAAAAAAATATACGAAATATAATATAAAACCAGTTAAGTCGGGCTGGGCCGATTATATGATACCCCTCACCACTTAGGGTATATTCTACATATCGCTCATTTGTTGCAAGACAGGCATAACTCAAAAAAACCAGTAAGGAAAGTAGTAAAGTCGGACGGGGCCGACTATATGATACCCTTCATCACTATGGGCATATTAAACAGGACTATTAGCATGAAATTGGATGAAATAAAATATGTGATATTTATCTAAATGTGAATCTACCTAGATCTATCCATAAAGTATGTAAATCGACGTCAAACAAATATAAATATGTCATCCGTAGGGCTATGTCTGTACTTCTAGAAAACGCAACTATATAATTTTGTGCTCAATTTTGTACGATGTGCAAACTTTGATGTCAATCTGTCTAACATGAGGAGTTTGATGCCCAATTTACTTGAAATCGGGAGAAAATATATATGGTGCGTTAATTACTTAAACTCAATCTATAATAAAAGGGACTATATCTATCTACATCCGGACCGATTTTCACGAAACTTGGCAGACATCATTCTAGACCTAATTGATTAAGCTGTACCAAATTTCGTGCAAATCGAAGATATATAGGGACTTTGGTGCACCATTTACATTAAATCGGACAAAACTATATATGGGAGATATATCTAAATCAGGACCGATTTTCATGAAACTTGGCAGACATCATTCTAGGCTCAATTAAGTACGTTATGCCAAATTTCGTGCAAATCGAAGGATATATAGGGACTTTGGTGCACCATTTACATGAAATCGGACGAAACTATATATGGGAGCTATATCTAAATCAGGAACGATTTTCATGAAACTTGGCAGGCATCATTCTAGGCTCAATTAAGTACGTTATGCCAAATTTCGTGCAAATCGAAAGATATGTAGAGACTTTGGGGCACCATTTACATGAAATCGGACCAAACTATATATGGGAGCTATATCGAAATCTGGACCGATTTTCTCGAAATTTGGCAGACATCATTTTAGGCCTAAATGATTAGGCTGTACAAAATTTCGTGCAAATCGAAGGATATATAGGGACTTTGGTGCACCATTTACATGAAATCGGACGAAACTATATATGGGAGCTATATCTTAATCTGGACCGATTTTCTCGAAACTTGGCAGACATCATTCTAGGCTCAATTCAGTACGTTATGCCAAATTTCGTGCAAATCGAAAGATATGTAGAGACTTTGGGGCACCATTTACATGAAATCGGACCAAACTATATATGGGAGCTATATCGAAATCTGGACCGATTTTCTCGAAATTTGGCAGACATCATTCTAGGCTCAATTAAGTACGTTATGCCAAATTTCGTGCAAATCGAAGGATATATAGGAACTTTGGTGCACCATTTACATGAAATCGGACGAAAATTTATATGGGAGCTATGTATAAATCTGAACCGATTTTTATGAAACTTAGCACACACCATTCTAGGCTTAATTAAGTAGGCTGTGCCAAATTTCGTGCAAATCGATAGGTATATAGGGACTTTGGTGCACCATTTACCTTAAATCGGACGAAAATATATATGGGAGCTATATCTAAATCTGAACCGATTTTCTTCAATTTCAAAAGGGTTCGTCCTTTAGCCAAATAAGTGACTTCTGCCAAATTTCATCCAAATCGGATCATAAATGTGTCCTGTACTCTGTTTACAATTTAACATCTACAACGGACGGACGGACATGCATAAATCGGCTCAGAAAGTGATTCCATGCATATTCTCAAAACGAACCATATGTCTATCTCGTTTCCTTATGCCTGTTACAAACATATGCACAAAGACATAATACCCTGTAGCACAGTGTGGTGAAGGGTGTTTGAAAAAATATTTTTAAACCAGGAGCGGAGCAGTATAGTCGGACGGGGGGAACCATATGATACCCTACACAACTTCCACGAAAATCTAACTTTCTGCGGATCTATGTACTGAGCTTGGGCAATATTTCGCGATATTTGCACCATTTTGACCGACTACAAATGTTACTAATATTCAGTACAGCCCTTTTAATTACTTGTCCAGATTCCCGTGGGTCGTGTTGTGATATTCGGTTTTCAATTGTGGCCTATAGATCGACTCGAAAAAAAAAACACAAAAAAATAAGTTCTCGGTCTACATCATCCCAAATATTATTGTCCGATCTTCATCGAAAATTATAGGCGTTGTCCTTGACCATAACTGAATCTTCGTGTTTACAAATTATAATGGACAGACGAACGGACGGACACACATGTCTAGATCGACTCAGCTAGTCGAAATATGACGATCGGTATACATAAAGGTGGGTCTAGGAACAATATTTCGCGGCGTTACAAACTCTTGGGGCTGCACAAAGCTATAATACCCCGATAACATAGTTGTGTAGGGTATAAAAACCACGCCAAGTATGGAGGCTTGAAAAACAAATTAAAAAATATATTTTATTTTTATTTAAACATTTCTTCATTTCATTTTAGGTCAAGGTTTCAAACAGATTCTTAAATTTCCCCAATCTCCACCACATTCGAAATTAAAATCACATCCGATCACCATCATATCTTATCTCAAAAAAAAAAAAAAAATCTTCGATATAAAGATAAAAGAAAATGTGATAAGACGTCGCCATCGGGTGAGCTAAGCTGACTGACGTCTGTTCTGTTCCAATGATAGCATAGAGGGGGAGATTAGTATCTCCACAACTTCTAGCAAAGGTGTACGGAAAATTTTCTTTTTTTCTCAGAAATCTATCATCGAACTGATTATAAAATAATGAATTTTTGGATGATAATCATTTGGACACTACTGTCCTCCCTGCTAAGCTATTTGAAGATGAAATATAATTATTGGGATCTGCAGGGTGTGAAACAATTGAAACCTCACTTTTTGGTGGGTCATTTGAGGAAATTACGAAGCATTAATCATCGTCAGATACTGAAGGAGGTGTATGATGAATTCCGGTCCAAGGCAAAATTGGCGGGATTTTATATTTACACCCAACCGGTGGCGGTGATTTTGGATTTGGATCTGGCCAAGTCGGTATTGGTGAAAGATTTCAATTTCTTTGCCAGTCGCCTGTGGTATAAAAATGAGAAGGACCATTTGTCTCAACATCTCTTCAATGTAGAGGAGGTCCAGTGGCGTTTATTGCGAAATAAGTTGGCTCCGGCATTTACCGCAGAAAAATTGGAATTTATGTTGCCCAGCCTGCAAAGGGTGGCGGAGAATTATGTGGAAGCTTATGGATCGGCCATAGCGGAGAGTGAGTCCCTTAATGTCCATGATCTGAATGGTAGATTTATTTTGGATGTCTTTGGAAGCTGTCTATTTGGTCTGGAGTGCAACAGCCTTAAAGATCCCCAGCAGGAAGAGTTCTATCAGATGATTCCCCAAATTTTGCCAAGCAAAGATATTGGCATCAAATGTCATTTCTTTAAGGCCACGTATTTTGATCTGATGAAATTGTTTGGCTTGAAGAAATTCCCTCAAGATGTAGAGAGCTTCTTCAAACGTGTGGTCCGGGAAGGTTTCGTAAAACGTGAGAAAAGCGGTGTGGTGCGCAATGACTTCATCGATGTTTTATTGTTAATGAAAAATTTTGGTGAAATGAATTTGGAGGCGGAACAATTGGCGGCACAATTTTATGGATTCTTCACCGCCAGCTATGAGACCTCAGCAGCAACAATGACCTATCTTCTCTACGAATTGGCCAGGCATGAGGATGTCCAGGAGAAACTAAGGAAACACATCACGGAGACTCTCAAGAAGCATAACAACCAAGTATCATATGGAGCCCTTAACGATATGAAATATTTGGATCAGGTTATAACAGGTAAGCAGAACTTCTACTCATCTTTGCACTCCCCTCCCTCATACTTCCTTCTCTCCTTCGCAGAAACCCTACGCATGTACCCACCCTTTGCCTATTTGCAACGCCTGGCCCTGGAAGATTATAAGGTTCCCGGCACCGATATTACCATAGAGAAAAATACCGATGTCCTTATACCCGTCAAGGCCATACATTATGATGCAGATATTTATGAAAATCCCAAAGAATTTAAACCTGAGAGATTCGCCCCATCGGAAGAGAGGAAACGCCATCCGCAAGCATTTTTGTCATTTGGCGAGGGACCAAGGAATTGTATTGCCATGCGTTTGGCTCAATTGCAAATTAAATGTGGCCTTGTTAGTCTAATGAGAAAATATCAATTTTCGGAATCTGCCCAAACTAGCAAAGAAATTGAATTTTCCGATTATAGTGAGGCATTGGTGCCCACTAAGCCGATTTATTTGAAGGTGGAAAAAATATGAAAATTAGCAAAATAAATATTTTTGAAGGCTCTATAAGAGGCATGGTTTTTTTTACAAATAAAGGAAAAGAATATGCATAGAATCACTTTCTAAGTCGATTTATGCATGTCCGTCCGTCCGTGTGTCTGTCCATGTTAAATTGTGAACAAAGTACAAGTCGCATTTATGATCCGAATTGGATGAGAATTGGCATAGGTCACTTATTTGGCCCAAGGACGAACCTTATTGAAATTGGGAAAAATCGGTTCAGAATTAGATATAGCTCCCATATATATTTTCGTCCGATATAAGGTAAATGGTTCCCCCAATTCCCTATAAATATTCCGATTTGCACAAAATTTGGCATAGCGTACTGAATTCAGCCTAGACTGATATGTGCAAAGTTTCGTAAAAATCGGTTCGGATCTAGATATAGCTCCCATATATATTTTGGCCCGATTTAATGTAAATGATGCTCCAAAATCGGTATATATTTTCGATTTGCACAAAATGTAACATAGCGTAGTGAATTAAGTCTAGAATGTTGTCTGCAAAGTTTCGTAAAAATCGGTTCAGATTTAGATATAGCTCCCATATATAATTTCGTCCGATATAAGGTAAATGGTTCCCCCAATTCCCTGTAAATATTCCGATTTGCACAAAATTTGGCACAGCGTACTGAATTCAGTCTAGACTGATATGTGCAAAGTTTCGTAAAAATCGGTTCAGATTTAGATATAGCTCCCATATATATTTTCGCCCGATTTAAGGTAAATTGTACAAAAAAGATCCCTATATATCTTCCGATTTGCACGAAATTTGGCACTGGGTACTAAATTCGGCTTAGACTGATGTGTGCAAAGTTTCGTAAAAATCGGTAAAGATTTACATATAGCTATCATATATATTTTCTTCCGATTTAAGGTAAATGGTGCTCCAAAGTCCCTATAAATGTTCCGATTTGCACGAAAATTGGCACAGCGTAGTGAATTAAGCCTAGAATGATGTGTGCTACGTTTCGTAGAAATCGGTTCAGATTTAGATATAGCTCCCATATATAGTTTTGTCCGATTTTAAATAAATGGTGCACCAAAGTCCCTAAAAATTTTCCGATTTGCACGAAATTTTAAATAGGATACTGAATTAGGTCCAGAATGAGGTGTGTTAAGTTTCGTGAAAATCGGTTCAAATTTAGATATAGCTCCCATGTATAGTTTTGTCCGATTTTATGTAAATGGTGCACCAAAGTCACTATATATTTTTCTATTTGCACGAAATTTGGTACAGCGTACTAAATTCGGCTTAGACTGATGTGTGCTAAGTTTCGGCTCAGATTTAGATATAGCTCCCATATATATTTTTGTCCGATTTATTTGAAATGGGGTTCCTATAAACCTTTCGATTTGCACGAAATTTGGCGTAGCGTATTAAATTAGGTCCAGAATGAGGTGTGTTAAATTTTGAGAAAATCGGTTGAGATTTAGATATAGCTCCCATATATATTTTCGTCCGATTAATGTAAATGGTGTCCAAAGTCCCTATAAATCTTTCGATTTTCACGAAATTTGGCATAACGTATTGAATTAGGTCCATATATAAATCGATTTATAATCTGCACGAATTAAAATATATGTACGGATTGACATTAGTCGGTTTACATATAGATAAAGATCGCAGATTTAAGTTCGTTCAATTTGATGTCAATGTGCCTTCGAAAGGCGACGTCTATTAGGATATATATGTAGAATATACCAAAGTGGTGAAGGGGTTTCATATAGTCTTCCCCGTCCGACTTTACTACTTTCCTTACTGGTTAATAAATAATATTATATTGAGGGTGAAGTTTTTAAGCATGTAAAATCAAAACGACATACGTAAGCTCCCTCTATTGCAAAGATTAATAATTAAAATAGTTTAATAGCTTAGCCTATAACCACTTAAGTTCGTCGAAAAGTATTGTTCAACTGTACAACCAGTGTTGGAAAGTGATATTATTTATAACAGCTTTCTGAATTTTTTGGTCTAATGAGGACATGCCTGCACTACTTCTCCGCAAAGTTACGGTTGTTGTCCCCACTACATTAACTGCCGTAAAATCGTGGTTGAAAACTATTAGTTTGCTAATCTGTCGCTAGGAGTGACCTAGGACCCATGTGCATATTAAGCAAAGGTCACTATGAACGTTCTTTGTCCATAATAGGAGTGGTTGTTTAAAAAAATAAATAAATAAATAAAAATCCACGCCTCACGTCGCTCAAAAATATTTTTTTTTTAATTCTACATATGTTTAATGTCCTTGAAAATAAAACACATTTATTTATTTTTTTCATATCATTTACATTTTATTAATTTTTATTTTTTGAACCTTTAACATTTCGTTTCAGATCTCATTTGTCAAAGTATTAGGTTTTACTGAGTTTGAGAAAATATTGTGCGAGGTCTTTCAAATCATCAAAACAGAGCAGTCAGGGATGACATTCTCGGAAAATGGAGGCTTCTTATTGGATAAAAATTCCGAATATAGTTTTCCTCATTGTAAGTTTTTTGAATACAAAATAATTTTCAAATCTGCAATAAAAATAAAAAATATTAGGATGAAATTCCAACAAAAAAAAAATGTGTTTTATTTACCAAGGTAGGGTTTTTATGGCAGTTTCCACTCTCTATATGACGTCATTCGATAATACAAAAAAGAGTTGTGTTCTCGTTAAAAATTTCTGAAAAATACCAGGCGCCCAGCATCAAATAGCCAGAAAAAAATAAATAAATCGCCAAAAATTTTGCTCTGGCAACTCCGTATAACTAAAAAACCAAAGCATACTTTCAGGCGCCTATCTATTTTCACCGAAATTAAAATTTTAATCTGGCAATGCCCTAACAAAAATTGCAATTACAATATTCAGAGCATACTTTCAGGCGCCTAAATATTTTTTTCATTTTTGTCAACCTGCTACTTTCTATGAAATTCTGGGCGCCTGGTGTTTGTCAGAAATTTTTACAAAAAAAACTAAATTGTTCCAAATTTCTAAGTGATGACGTCACTGCGGTGGTTAGACGGAATTTTTTTAAGAATTTTTCTCTGAGACCCATAGGCGTTGATTTTTAAGGATTTTTCTCAATTTTTCAATTTTTCTATTATCCTTAATAATAATAGGCGTGGATTTTTAAAGGATATTCTCACAAGGACCAATTAAGGCAATAGGCGTGGATTTTTAACGGATATTTTCACAAGGACCAATTAAGTCAATAGGTGTGGATTTTTAACGGATATTTTCACAAGGACTATTAAGGCAATAGGCGTGGATTTTTAAAAGATATTTTCACAAGGACTATTAAGGCAATAGGCGTGGATTTTTAAAGGATATTTTCACAAGGACCAATTAAGGCAATAGGCGTGGATTTTTAAAGGATATTTTCACAAGGACCAATTAAGCCAATAGGCGTGGATTTTTAAAGGATATTTTCACAAGGACTATTAAGGCAATATGCGTGGATTTTTAAAGGATATTTTCACAAGGACTATTAAGACAATAGGCGTGGATTTTTAAAGGATATTTTCACAAGGACTATTAAGGCAATAGGCGGGGATTTTTAAAGGATATTTTCACAAGGACTATTAAGACAATAGGCGTGGATTTTTAAAGGATATTTTCACAAGGACTACTAAGACAATAGGCGTGGATTTTTAAAGGATATTTTCACAAGGACTATTAAGGCAAAAGGCGTGGATTTTTAAAGGATATTTTCACAAGGACTATTAAGACAATAGGCGTGGATTTTTAAAGGATATTTTCACAAGGACTATTAAGGCAATAGGCGTGGATTTTTAAAGGATATTTTCACAAGGACTATTAAGGCAATAGGCGTGGATTTTTAAAAGATATTTTCACAAGGACTATTAAGGCAATAGGCGTAGATTTTTAAAGGATATTTTTTAAGAGACTATCATCAACATAGGCGTGGATTTTTAAAGGATATTTTCACAAGGACTATTAAGGCAATAGGCCTGGATTTTAAAAAGATATTTTCACAAGGACTATTAAGGCAATAGGCGTGGATTTTTAAAAGATATTTTCACAAGGACTATTAAGGCAATAGGCGTGGATTTTTAAAAGATATTTTCACAAGGACTATTAAGGCAATAGGCGTGGATTTTTAAAAGATATTTTCACAAGGACTATTAAGGCAATAGGCGTGGATTTTAAAAAGATATTTTCACAAGGACTATTAAGGCAATAGGCGTGGATTTTTAAAAGATATTTTCACAAGGACTATTAAGGCAATAGGCGTGGATTTTAAAAAGATATTTTCACAAGGACTATTAAGGCAATAGGCGTGGATTTTAAAAAGATATTTTCACAAGGACTATTAAGGCAATAGGCGTGGATTTTTAAAGGATATTTTCACAAGGACTATTAATGCAATAGGCGTGGATTTTTAAAGGATATTTTCACAAGGACTATTAATGCAATAGGCGCGGATTTTTAAAGGATATTTTCACAAGGACTATTAAGGCAATAGGCGTGGATTTTAAAAAGATATTTTCACAAGGACTATTAAGGCAATAGGCGTGGATTTTTAAAGGATATTTTCACAAGGACTATTAATGCAATAGGCGTGGATTTTTAAAGGATATTTTCACAAGGACTATTAACGCAATAGGCGCGGATTTTTAAAGGATATTTTCACAAGGACTATTAAGGCAATAGGCGTGGATTTTAAAAAGATATTTTCACAAGGACTATTAAGGCAATAGGCGCGGATTTTTAAAGGATATTTTCACAAGGACTATTAAGGCAACAGGCGTGGATTTTTAAAGGATATTTTTAAAGGCCCTATAATAGGCGTGGATTTTTTAAAGAATATTTGTAAGGGCTCTATAAGAGTGTGGATTTTTTAAAGAATATTTTTAAGGGCTCTATAAGAAGCGTAGACTTTTTAAAGAATATTTTTAAGGGCTCTATAAGAGGCGTGGATTTTTTAAAGAATATTTTTAAGGGCTCTATAAGAGGCGTGGATTT